TGTTCGTTTTCGTTCGTTCGTTCGTTCGTTCGTTTTCGTTCGTTCGTTCGTTCGTTTCGTTCGTTCGTTCGTTCGTTCGTTCTTTCGTTCGTTCGTTCGTTCGTTTCGTTCGTTCGTTCGTTTCGTTCGTTCGTTCGTTCGTTCGTTCGTTCGTTTCGTTCGTTCGTTCGTTCGTTCGTTTCGTTCGTTCGTTCGTTCGTTCGTTCGTTCGTTCGTTCGTTCGTTCGTCGTTCGTTCGTTCGTTGTTCGTTCGTTCGTTCGTTCGTTCGTTCGTTTCGTTCGTTCGTTCGTTCGTTCGTTCTTTCGTTCGTTCGTTCGTTCGTTCGTTCGTTCGTTCGTTCGTTTAGTTAGTTAGTTAGTTAGTTAGTTAGTAGTTAGTTAGTAGTTAGTAGTTAGTTAGTTAGTAGTTAGTTAGTTAGTTAGTTAGTTAGTTAATTAATTAGTTAGTTAAAATGCCTATTGGCCACCAATGGTTCCTCGAACCTACGACCTTCCTACTTGCTTTCCATTACTTACACTTTATTACCATTAGATTATAGTTCCACTTCCTGAACAACATCTCGGAACCTGTTTCAAACCATACCTCCGAGAAAATCAATATCAAATGTTACTACATTCATACATTTTGCTGTAAAGTCTTAAATCGTATCTCAGGCCCATTAAAATAACTAAAATACAACTATAGCCCCTTTAATTATGCACTGTTACTGAGTTAACACAATCCCTCCGAGTATGCTAAATTTCTCACAATACTGTTAAGCATTTAATAAACCCTTTTTTTGTGCAACACACTCTCATAAACACATAAAATATGCATAGTTGCGCTAATAAGCTTAACTCCGGTAATAATATTTATTAATTATTCCAATTATAAATCGCTCTTTAGCAATATTGTACTTTTTATACTCAAACTCTCACCCAACAAGGCCCACAGATTAAACAATTGTTTGTCATAAATTGATGCCTTTTGTAATAAATTTCGCTTGTATTTAAATAGTTCTTTTTGTTAAAATTTAAACAAATTAAATAAATATTAATGCAATTGGAAAAAAATATGCCTGCCTGCATGCACAGGCGGGAGTGGGGTGTTTTCAAAACTGCATTATAGTAATAAGATTTTCTCTACACATTAGCGGTAATACTACAATAACCATAAATATGCACTTACTAAAATACTCGGGACCTAACATTTTTACTAGTTATTTGCCAATCAAAAACACTAGGTTGTGGCAAGTAAGTAGTACCTAGCTCATAAATAAATGCTCGAAAAAAATATGCATTTTAGCTTTAATCTTTTTTTGGGGGCCACCAAAATCATTTGTATAATTTTGTTGTTATTGTTTGTTTGGGTCTTATTGTTGTTGATGCTGTAATATTGAACAATAATTTTTGTTGGCCATAATGCTAAACACACACTATGCCAATACAAAATTATATATATATATTTTTTTTTTATTTTTCAAAATCCGATTTTGTTTTAACCTCAAATCATGTTGATGATTATGATGATGTTGTTTTTTTTTTTTTTTGTTTTAGTCCCGGATTGGTTTGACTAGTTGTTGGTTGGGAGCATATGTATAACATAATTCTTGTAATGAGTTTATTGTTAATGGCTTTTCGCATTGATGAGAATGAGGCAAACATGTTGGGTTTGCGAAAGCCACATACATAGTACTTAAATCTGGAACTATTAACTTCATACTATATAAATATATAGGTGTATACCAAGTCTAGAAGCTTTTTTCCGGCTAAAGATTTCGATAATAGTGGAACAATTGCACCATATTTCTATTCGGAATCAGATATGGAGAACGTTTTAGTAAAAACTTATGGAAAATAATTTTTAAATAAATTATTGGCCTTTTTGTAAAACTAACGCTTTCTAGATATCTGGCGATTTCCTATATTTTTACCCTCTTCTGCAATTAAAACCTTATCTTATAGAATGAAAGAAAAAAAAAAAAAAAAACATTCAAAATAATAGCATTACAATTTCATTTTATATTTGTATATAATGTATGAAACAAAACATTTAAAATATAATTTAACATTCACAGTACTGTGCAAATGATAATCAAAAAAAAATAATTAATAAAAGAAAATAAATCTTAAACTCGCTAAAGTAAATAAACATTTACATTTTCATATATTTTCAAACGTATTCGTGGCCAGACTGCAGACTAGACTACATACTAGTCTATAGACTAGACTATAGACTGGACTATAGTCTAGACTATAGACTAGATTATAGGCTAGACTAGACTATAGACTAGACTAGACTATAGACTAGACTATAGACTAGACTATAGACTAGACTATAGACTAAACTATAGACTAGACTATAGAGACTAGACTATGGACTAGACTATAGAGACTAGACTATAGACTAGACTATAGACTAGACTATAGACTAGACTATAGACTAGACTATAGACTTTACTATAGACTAGACTATAGACTAGACTATATACTAGACTATAGACTAGACTATAGACTAGACTATAGACTAGACTATAGACTAGACTATAGACTAGACTATAGACTAGACTATAGACTAGACTATAGACTAGACTATAGACTAGACTATAGACTAGACTATAGACTAGACTATAGACTAGATTATAGACTAGAATATAGACTAGAATATAGACTAGACTATAGACTAGAATATAGACTAGACTATAGACTAGACTATAGACCAGACTATAGACTAGACTATAGACTAGACTATAGACTAGACTATAGACTAGACTATATACTAGACTATAGAATGGACTATAGACTAGACTATAGACTAGACTATAGACTAAACTATAGGCTAGACTATAGACTAAACTATAGACTAGACTATAGACTAAACTATAGACTAGACTATAGACTAGACTATAGACTAGACTATAGACTAGACTATAGACTTTACTATAGACTAGACTATAGACTTTACTATAGACTAGACTATAGACTAGACTATATACTAGACTATAGACTAGACTATAGACTAGACTATAGACTAGACTATAGACTAGACTATAGACTAGACTATAGACTAGACTATAGACTAGACTATAGACTAGACTATAGACTAGACTATAGACTAGACTATAGACTAGACTATAGACTAGACTATAGACTAGACTATAGACTAGACTATAGACTAGACTATAGACTAGACTATATACTAGACTATAGACTAGACTATAGACTAGACTATAGACTAAACTATAGACTAGACTATAGACTAGACTATAGACTAGACTATAGACTAGACTATAGACTAGACTATAGACTAGACTATAGACTAGACTATAGACTAGACTATAGACTAGACTATAGACTAGACTATAGACTAGACTATAGACTAGACTATAGACTAGACTATAGACTAGACTATAGACTAGACTATAGACTAGACTATAGACTAGACTATAGACTAGACTATAGACTAGACTATAGACTAGACTATAGACTAGACTATAGACTAGACTATAGACTAGACTATAGACTAGACTATAGACTAGACTATAGACTAGACTATAGACTAGACTATAGACTAGACTATAGACTAGACTATAGACTAGACTATAGACTAGACTATAGACTAGACTATAGACTAGACTATAGACTAGACTATAGACTAGACTATAGACTAGACTATAGACTAGACTATAGACTAGACTATAGACTAGACTATAGACTAGACTATAGACTAGACTATAGACTAGACTATAGACTAGACTATAGACTAGACTATAGACTAGACTATAGACTAGACTATAGACTAGACTATAGACTAGACTATAGACTAGACTATAGACTAGACTATAGACTAGACTATACTAGACTAACTAGACTATAGACTAGACTAAACTATAGACTAGACTATAAACTAGACTATAGACTAGACTAAACTATAGACTAGACTATAGACTAGTCTATACTATAAACTGGATTACTGAAACATATAATTGACTACTGCCTTAACTACAGTCTATACTATAGACTGGGCCATAGACAGGACTATAGACTAGACAGTTACATATTTCTGTTGCCAATATTTAGCCCATACTGTTGAAAATTTTCTGCTATTGTTACGTAATATTTTCTCACAACAACTACAAAATATTTAAAACGGAATTTAAGGAAAATATTAAACATTTATTAATGTAATAATTTAATTTCATTATAAATGTATTACGAACGCAATACAACAAAACAGTGTAACGCACAATATAATAGAGAGTATGAGAGAAATGTTATAGCTACATACATACATACATTAGGGGGGATGCGTTAGAATTGTTATATGGAACAATTGAATACATTTAATACTTTGTAAATCGATATACATTAAATTTTTATAAAATTTCTTTTTATAAGATTTTTTAAATATTTGATCTAAACTGTTATCTGTGGTAAAACTGAAAATTTTTTTCGACCACCCTAATGTAAATCTGTTCTCTATGCATATTTGATTCATAATGCCACAGATATATGCAACTTTAATCCTTTACTACTATAACAATAACAACAAAAACTCCAAGCAGAGCAATAACAGCGTAAAAATACAATAAAGTGCGTATTTTAATAAGCATTTCATATTTGTAAATACGCACAATTTCGGGGAGTTTTTTTTTGTAAATAAAATATTTCACTTAAAATCATGGCAGATTTTATTTAATTAAATATATAGCAATAATTAACTTTATATTTTTGACAATATGTTTAAAGAGCATTTTCAAATATAAATGTATTTCGAGATTTTTGTTTGTCAATAATGGGTGATTGCATTTGTAAATAGTAGCGAGTAGGTTTTTAAAAATTTTTATTTTATAAGAATAATTTATTATTACATACTACTTTTGTGTTAAATCAAAGAGAGTATTTAAAATTAAAATACTTAATTGATATAAGTAATTTTAAAGGATTTAAAAGGGTATTTTTTTAAAGTTATTATTATTTTTATAATATGAAAATTAATTATATTTTTTCTTATTTTTTAGCAAAATCATTACCATTACATTGTGTAGTGGAGTCGGTACACTCCCTGCAAGCCTCTCTAACCATAGATCAACGTAGTCCCTGGAAACGAAGACCAAATGTTGAAACGGATAGTTATGTTATAATAGCAGCAGCTACACCCTGGTCCGAAATAGTACAAACAGCTTTACAAAGATTGGGTTATTCTCAAGAGACATCGTCGACAGCAAGAGGTAAGTTGTTCAGTTAAAGCTGATAAATGTTTATTTTGAATCAAAACTTTTTACCGGTTCAACATCTTTTGGTAAAGAGTTTCGAATCAAACTGTTCCATTTCCAGACGGACAGATATTTAGCTCTATATGTTCCGGCTTTATCGGAAATCAATATGTGAACAACAATATTTATGAAACTTTAGTCGGGAATATAAAAAATTGAATATGAAAGTTAGGTCCTCTCATGTACCGATATTCACAAAGCGAGTAAAGCCCATTTTAGTTGCCTTCTCTTTGTTGGAGAGAGACTTGAAGATAACTTGTTCTAAGAATCATAAAAGATTGGGAAAGAAAATATTGAAATTCTCTCTACCACGAATCATTAAAGGAGGGAGAGAGATAGAGAGAGAGAGCGAATAAAGAAGATTGAGAATAAGTCAACCTTCTAACAGTCAAACTTTTAAAACAAAGATACAGCGATAGCTTTTAACAAGCTATTGAAATCACTGAAGAGGCATGGGAGAAATTTTTTTTAGCGCTTAAGTTTCCCTCTCCCTTGTAAGCAAAAGAGAGAAAAAGGGAAACATATAAATAAATTATTTAGCTTTTTAGTTCCCTTTCTTCTAAGAATCATTAAAGAGAGTAAGCGATAATGCTTTTTAAGTTATTTTCTTCTCCTAATAATCATTGAAGAGAGAAAAAGTGTAGAAGATAAATAAACTCTTAAGCTTTTTATGTCCATTTCTTTTAAAAATCACTTAAACGATTGAGATAGAGAGAGAGAGAGAGAGAGAACTAGAATCTTTAACTTCTAAGCTTTTTAGAATACTTCCTTCTACTAAACATTCAAAAGAAGGAGAGAGAGAAAGTGGCAGTTAAATAACTTTTAAGATCTTTAGTTTATATTTTTATGCAAATCGAAGCAGAGAGAGAGAGAGAGAGAGATGCAAAAATTAAAAGATAGAGAAGAAGTAACATTGAAAGCAGTGGAACGCAATGAGTACTCAAATGAGCTTTCTTGTACTCTTTCTTTTACTCATATGTATGCTTACACTTGTATAAAAACCAAAAGCCAAACCAGTTAGAACTGTGTTTTACTCTCTGCGTTTTGCGGATCTAAAAACACGTTTAAGCTTTTTAGTTCTTTTAAACATCATTAGAGAGAAAGAGTTCTTTTAAACATCATTAAGAGAACTATCAATTTTAACTTTTAAGCTCATTTTCTTTTCAAAGTTTCTTAGAAGAAACCGTCCTATTTCTTCTAAGAAACTTTGACAAGACAGACAGTTCAATAAACTTTTAGGCTTTTCAGTTCACTTCCATCTCTAAGCCAGTAAAGTGAGTACTAGGTGAACTCGAAACTCTTAAGCTCTTAACGAATCATTGAATAGAAAACAGAAGCTCTTTAATGTAAAAATGTTACTTCATTTAACTTACTTTTAAAAGCTTTTCTTCTGCTTCTTAAAAAAACTTTTATCATTATTATTCTCTTCTACAGGTTCTTTAATCATCAAAAATTGGAAACCCATACCTTTAGAAAATATATCCGATAATCCTGTTGTTCCTGTATGTGATATAATTGGAGAACTAACATCTGTTGTTACATTACGTATCGTTATACTACGATGTAAACCCTCACCGTTTGGTGAAATAAAAGATAAACTTTTAAAATTACTCGTACTGCAATCACATGCGGTACTAAGATCCACCGGTTGCCCTTTAGATGAGGTAAGTTTTTTGCTATACAAATTTCTCATTTATAATCTATGCAAAAAGTTTAAGATACCCAAAAATATAGAAGAAAAAACACTAATTAAAATCTTATAAATTATGCTTTTTGTTTTAAAAAAACATAAGAAAAACGAACTAAAGAATAAAACATTTTCGATAAACCTCTTAAAATTAAAATCCGCCCTCATCACTTGTTCTTTTTTGGCATAAATGCTGTAGTATGTGAGTTTATGTATGAGACGTTTCTTTTTTTTAAATAGTTTTCTGTTGTTTTTGAAGGAAAAAGTATTTTTTTGTTGTAATATTTTGTCTTTTGTTAAATATTTATAATCCTTAAATGTCTTTTTTGTAATGAATTTTAATACTTTAGAACATAAGAAAAGCTTTAGACGACGTATGTGTTGTCTACACATCCTTGTAGTTTATAAATTTTTATTGCTGTTTTTCTGTCTTAACAGGACTCGTTTTTTTGTAGTTTGTAGTTGTATTTGTACATAGTTTTCATTTTGCTGCAAAAACAAAAAATAAATAAAATTTTTATTGCAAATTCTCTCTAATTAGAAAATTGATTGTATATTTTTCTAAAAAACAAAAACTTTTTTAAAGTACAAAATTTATCCCAAATTTTGTCCTAAACAGAAAATGGTTGGTAAATTCTCTTTAAATGGGAAATTTATGTTAAATTTTCTCTAAATAACAAATTTATTATAATTTTCTCTAAATGAAAAATATATCGTAAATTTTCCTTGAATAGAAAAAAACCTTTTTGTAAAATACAAAATTCATTGCAAATTTTCTCTAAACAGAAAATGGTTCTTAAATTTTCTTAAATTGGAAATTTATCGTAAATTTTTTTCTAAAAAGGAAAATTTATCCTAAAATTTCTTTCATAGAAAATTTATCGTAAATTTCTGTAAATAGAAAATGTTATCATAAATTTTCTTGAATAGAAAAATTCAAATTGTCTCAAAATAAAAAAAACCTTTTTGTAATTTTTTTTAAATAAAAATTTATCGTAAATTTTTCCTAAATAGAAAATTGTTCGTAAATTAATTAGTTTAGTTAGTTAGTTAGCTAGTTAGTAGTTAGTTAGTTAGTTAGTTTGTTAGTTAGTTAGTTAGTTAGTTAGTTAGTTAGTTAGTTAGTTAGTTAGTTAGTTAGTTAGTTAGTTAGTTAGTAGTTAGTTAGTTAGTAGTAGTTAGTTAGTTAGTTAGTTAGTTAGTTAGTTAGTTAGTTAGTTAGTTAGTTAGTTAGTTAGTTAGTAGTTAGTTAGTTAGTAGTTAGTTAGTTAGTTAGTTAGTTAGTTAGTTAGTTAGTTAGTTAGTTAGTTAGTTAGTTAGTTAGTTAGTTAGTTAGTTAGTTAGTAGTTAGTTAGTTAGTTAGTTAGTTAGTTAGTTAGTAGTTAGTTAGTTAGTTAGTTAGTTAGTTAGTTAGTTAGTTAGTTAGTTAGTTAGTTAGTTAGTTAGTTAGTTAGTTAGTTAGTTAGTAGTTAGTTAGTTAGTTAGTTAGTTAGTTAGTTAGTTAGTTAGTTAGTTAGTTAGTTAGTTAGTAGTTAGTTAGTTAGTTAGTTAGTTAGTTAGTTAGTTAGTTAGTTAGTTAGTTAGTTAGTTAGTTAGTTTAGTTAGTTAGTTAGTTAGTTAGTTAGTTAGTTAGTTAGTTAGTTAGTTAGTTAGTTAGTTAGTTAGTTAGTTAGTTAGTTAGTTAGTTAGTTAGTTAGTTAGTTAGTTAGTTAGTTAGTTAGTTAGTTAGTTAGTTAGTAGTTAGTTAGTTAGTTAGTTAGTTAGTTAGTTAGTTAGTTAGTTAGTTAGTTAGTTAGTTAGTTAGTTAGTTAGTTAGTTAGTTAGTTAGTTAGTTAGTTAGTTAGTTAGTTAGTTAGTTAGTTAGTTAGTTAGTTAGTTAGTTAGTTAGTTAGTTAGTTAGTTAGTTAGTTAGTTAGTTAGTTAGTTAGTTAGTTAGTTAGTTAGTTAGTTAGTTAGTAGTTAGTTAGTTAGTTAGTTAGTTAGTAGTTAGTTAGTTAGTTAGTTAGTTAGTTAGTTAGTTAGTTAGTTAGTTAGTTAGTTAGTTAGTTAGTTAGTTAGTTAGTAGTTAGTTAGTTAGTTAGTTAGTTAGTAGTTAGTTAGTAGTTAGTTAGTTAGTAGTAGTAGTTAGTTAGTTAGTTAGTTAGTTAGTTAGTAGTTAGTTAGTTAGTTAGTTAGTTAGTTAGTTAGTTAGTTAGTTAGTTAGTTAGTTAGTTAGTTAGTTAGTTAGTTAGTTAGTTAGTTAGTTAGTTAGTTAGTAGTTAGTTAGTTAGTTAGTTAGTTAGTTAGTTAGTTAGTTAGTTAGTAGTTAGTTAGTTAGTTAGTTAGTTAGTTAGTAGTAGTTAGTTAGTTAGTTAGTTAGTTAGTAGTTAGTTAGTTAGTTAGTTAGTTAGTAGTTAGTTAGTTAGTTAGTTAGTTAGTTAGTTAGTTAGTTAGTTAGTAGTTAGTTAGTTAGTTAGTTAGTAGTTAGTTAGTTAGTTAGTTAGTTAGTTAGTTAGTTAGTTAGTAGTTAGTTAGTTAGTTAGTAGTTAGTTAGTTAGTTAGTTAGTTAGTTAGTTAGTTAGTTAGTTACATATGATTGATATATACATACATCAAATTCGAGCTCTTTTTCCAGTATCTCAGGTGGCAAGGGAACTCTCGTCCTCCGATCTATTAAATTTTTACACTAACCTCTAACTGGTTTATATGTAAAACGCCTAACAATACTACTTCGATATTTTCTTCAACCTATAAGTCGCCCATACTTTTTATGCTAAATCCCCCTTTAAATAATCTATTGTATTTTCTATAAAAATACCATTTGATTGATTACCTTAAAGGTTTAAAATTACTTACTTATAGATAATTTAAAAATAAAATATTTATACAAAAATAAATAAAACAAATATTAATGCCTTGTAACGTATTTATGGAACCTCTTTTCCTAATCATATGACGCCATAAAAATGATAATTCTTTAATGAGCTGACATTATAAATCATTATACATAAATATATAAAACGAGACAATAAAAATCAAATGCACTTCTTCTTCTTTCGATTTTAAATTTATAGAAAATAGAATTTTGCAAAAAAAAAAAAAAAAAAAACACAATAAACTGATAATTAAATATTGAAAATTTGTTGTCATAATAATCATGTGATAAACAACACTTTAACAAATTTTATTATTAGTAATTACACCAAAAAATATCTTATATATAAAAAGACTTAAGAGCTAATACACTCGTTAAGACGGGGACGAATTTTTTTTTAATTATAAATCACAATGACACCTTCAATTTGGGGCGTGTATTAGTGTGGTGTTGTGTACTTATCAATAGTATAGAGTGCACAAATAGTTTAATAAGTACATGTCTATAATTTTTAGTTTTTTAGTCATTGTCAATGATGTTTTAATTGATTTTATTTCAAAATCGTCATAACCCTCTTATTTATGAATGCATTTATGTTTTTGTAACTGTAGTCAGCAAGTTTAGGGGTGACTGTCCCGAACTAGTTCACACTATTAACTAGATTTTTCATCATGTTGGCGTCCTACTGGCCCTATATAGAGTGTAAATGAGGTGTGACGCTCTACAATATTGGTTCTATAACTTAAAGTATACCGATCGGCTTAGAATATTCTTCTGAGTAGATTGCTGAGTCCGTCCGTTTGTCCATATAAACCTTGTATACAAATTACTGAACTGTATACAAACTACTTGTATACAAACTACTGAAAATTCCATTTTCGCGACATGTTACCCTAATATTCTAAATTGACCGATTTTAAAAACAATTTTAACTTTGGACCACATGTTATAAACTTCCAAAGCTTGGACTGCAAAACGGGAAGCAGTTTCGCAAACCTTCATATGTTACTTCTTGATTCATGAAATATTTTATCAATCTCGTAATAAATGTGGACCATATGACATAAATAGTAAAAAAAAATATACAATTTTGGAATTTTTGGAAATTACAGAAAGATTTCAATTAACTAACATATCTGAAAGCTTATTTGTATGACGATAAGATCAAATTATGGACCGAATTTGTAGGTTAGGTTAGGTTGATAGGAGGATTTATACTACATCAAATCCGAAGAAATATACTTAGACCACTATCAGGCCTGTTGTGCGCTCCTTATCATAAAAAAAATTACTGAATGAATTATTTTTCAGTGTTCAGAAACTCAGTTTCCTGTACGTAATTCCTAAGAATCTTCCAATCAGTGTTAGTCAGGAATGTTATATCCGGAATAACATCACTTCCAAGATACTTGGATCTAACTTCGACAAATGCCTGGCAGTGGAAAAAATAGTGCTCCAGGGTTTCACTGTCCTCTCCACATGCTCTACATTCGTCTGAATCCGCACATCCAATTTTGCATAGATGTGCTCGTAATTCTGTGTGTCCACTCAGAATACGTACCATCATACTAACTTCAGACTTGTTTATTTTGAGGAGATTTTTCGTCTTGCTCTCATCAGGTTCACCCCATAGGAGCCATAAAGCTTTCTTACAATCCAATACGGCCCTAATTGCCTTCTGGCTGCCGGTTAATATATTAAGCGCTGTGGGCGCCATATTTATTATTATCCAATTTACGCATTCCGTTATTGCTCGGACTTCTGCCTGGAAGCTTGTGAAATGGTAAACGGTGGTATATTTCTGTTATTGGGTCTTCAATATAGAATCCCAGCCCCACTTTGTCCCCCAATTAAGAGCCATCCTTGTAACAACGGATTCCTACTGGCATTTGTTCTAATGTTCCGCTTGACCAAGACATTCTGGGATCAGAGTTTCAAAGTTTCCGAAACATATATTATTGACATTTGTGCTATATAACCTAGGGCCAGTGAAGTAACCAATTGCCTTCTGTTAGCCTTACAGAAGTTTAAAGTAATTGCATTCTAGATTACTTAGACACAATAAAGTGATGATTAAATACCGGCTAGATTACCTAGAACTTATGAAGTAACTAAAGGAATTTCGTTCACAAATCCAACAAATAGTAAGATTTCAAAAATAGAGTCTAAATTAAACCCTTATCTTCTATTAGCTTTACAGAAGTTTAAAGTGATTGCATCCTAGATTACTTAGACACAATAAAGTGATGATTAGTTACCCGCTAGATTACCAGGAACTTAAAAAGTAACTAAAGCAATATCGTAAACAAAAGCTATAAATTTATATCAAACACTTAGTAAGACATTAAAAAAAGAGTCCAAATTGACCGCTTAGAAAACTGTAGGGACGCAAATAAACATTAGTGTTATAGTGATAACAGTGACCAACAAAACAGTGTTATCTATTGCTCATCAAGTGATTACAAATAGTTTTTTTTTTTTTTTTTTTTTGTCGTATGCACCAAATATCGTTTATTAATCTTTGTATCTATTTTGACAAATAAGTTGTTATTAGTTTGGTTTTTTTTTTTTGCCCCATCCTTATCAAATGATCTTGATTTAATATTTGTCCAATGCAGTCGTGTGTAAGTAAAAATTGCATTATGAAATAATTTTGCTATAATACACAATATATTGAAAGTATTTTGATTTACTTAAATAAATATTTTGCAATCAATTTTATTTTGATTTCTTTTTGCAGTTATAGATATATATTTGTTCGCATACAAACATGATATATTGTATATTTTTATGGCTTAGTGAATCCCAGGTACTTGAGAATTTTATTATGTTAAAGCGTTTTGTCATGTACAATTTAACTGTGATTTTTATGGCGTCAACTTAGTAATCACAAAACAAAAAGGGGTGTCAATAGATTCTATTTTAGTATGAGTAGAGTATTATTAGTAATATAGACGTAGCCACTTGTATATATATACATGTTTGGCCAATGGATTTGGGGAGTTAAGCAAATGGTAACAAATGTTACGTGCAGATGTACTGTTTTTCGTACTTTTTCTGTCTATACATTTCATTGTGTTCTAGTTGTTGCTTTTGTATAGTAAGTTGAGGGATTAAATTGCTAAGGGATTTGCTAAAAGTATATGAGTTTTTCCCCATAGTCTTGGTTTTGGACGTTTATAAATTTTTAGAAATATTAAAGCTTTGACAACAGGTATTAGCAAAATGGTGTCTATCATTTATATAGTTAAATCAAATTTTAATGAAATGATAATTTGCACGTTCTCTGATAGATAATAAATTAATATTGAATATAAATTCAAGGATTTCCTGTACAGTTTTGGTTACATAATTTTATGAAATAAGCCCAGCAAAAACTTGCATTACCAATTTACTAACACAATAGTATGTTAATGATATTGTTATGTCTTTAGAGGCAAGTACTTACCACGCTCGCTTACAAATAGGGGGTGAAATCATTACTTACCACTATGACCTCATAAACTTTAATGAAACTTTCCCTTTCACAACATAATTTGATTAAACCACCGCTTTAATAACTTTATTTTCTTTTTTTGTAGGTAACTCTTTCACAAATCTGTCGTAGTTCATATCAAAATCCCTTTGCTTTTCCTGGCGGTGATATACCCGAGGAATTACGTCGCAAATTCGATCAATGGTGGTCCAATCAACTAACGCCCCAATCCAATATGGGACCCAAACTATTGCCCTTTATGAATGCTCCTCCCACGGGTGTAAGCAATGACATGGAACATAATATGGGTACAGCAGCTTTGGCAGCAGCTGCAGCTGCTGCTGCCGCAGCACAAGCTGGTCTACATGCTGCCACCTCGGTAAGCTCAAATGTTGCCAGTAGTATTAGTGCCAGTCGTGAATCGTTGCTGTTAAATGACTCCAGCAGTCATCATGCTGGAGCAGTTTTGCCAGGAGCAGCCAGTACACATCATCCCAATATGATGGTACATCCAGCCATGCATGCTAGCATGCATCATCATGCTAATTTGGCAGCACATTCACAGTTTTCCAATCAAAAGACACGCATGCGCACAAGTTTTGATCCAGAAATGGAATTGCCACGTTTACAGAAATGGTTTCAGGAAAATCCTCATCCCTCTAGACAACAAATACAGGCCTATGTGGTACAGTTAAATGCTCTGGAATCGAGACGTGGTAGAAAACCCTTAGATGTTAATAATGTGGTATATTGGTTTAAAAATGCACGGGCAGCGCAAAAAAGAGCCGAGATGAGAGGAGGTTTTGGTGCCATGCATGTGGCCATGAATGGTTATTTGGGTCAGCACAGTCAATTGGGACAGACTTCGGGTGGCAGCAGTACCGGCAGCATGAGTAGCCAACAGCAAATGATGGGTTCTAGTATGGGTAATCTTTCCCTATCCAATGATTTCATGAAAAGTCCCTTAAGCCTAAAATCCGAAGATATTGATAATATGTCACAACATTCAGATGATATGGATGAAGACACCTCTAGACCCAATTCGCCACAATTACCTTTATCTTTAACCATACACGAAAGACATCAAACTACACCCGATATGGAGGCAAAAGACAACAATAATGAATTACTAAATAAAAGCTCTCTAATAGATGACAATAGTTCAGATGAAAAATCGGGTATTTTAAATGAGTCCCAAAATGAACGTAATCTATCGCGTAGTTTTGAGGATAGAGATAAATTTACCAACGATAAAAATAAAAGCAATGATGACTTGGATAACACCGAAAATGCCACAAACGAGGAGACCGCCCAGCAATCGCAGCAAGAAAATGAAACCAATAATAATTCTTCCAATTCCCTAAATAACAATCAGTCGGCCAATGATTTAACACAAACCCAATCGCGTCCTTCGTCACCCAAAAATCCCTCTTCCAAAGAAGACGATGAAGATCTCGATATGGATGACGATGATGATGAGAATGATACCAGTCATTTGGAGGATTTTCGTTCACCCTCACCGGACATGAATAATGCCATGGTCGCGGCCCAGCGCAAAGATTTACCCTTTCCCATGGTGCCAAATAGTATGTTCCAGCAATCTTTCATGTATATGAGTCATTATATGCCAGGTTTTGGTCAGGCCGCCGCCGCTGCAGCTCATCCTCATGCTGCTGCGGCTGCTCATCATGCTGCTGCAGCTGCTGCTGCCGCTGGTATGCAACCGAATCCCTTGATGGGTGGTGGCGGTTTAAATTTATCCAGTATTTCCAATGAGGAGAGACGTAAAAGAAATCGTACATTCATCGATCCCGTTACAGAGGTGCCAAGTTAGAGCAATGGTTTGCCATGAATACACATCCATCGCATAGTTTGATTCTGAAGTATACCGAAGATTTGAATACGATGCCCTATAGGTGAGTTATTAAAGTGTTCTTATAGAGTTCTAAAATTTGTAATTGAGGGCCTGTCGGATTCAGTTATTGCTCAGACTAAAGGGTTGAAGCAAAGAAGCTGAACAGGGCATTATTCTCCCGCCAAATGGTTCCACTAAGACGTGATTTTAGGAGATTCGTATGTTTAAGGGGTAAAAACCGGTCGAATGTCAGGTTCCTTTGGGATTCACGTAGTGGCTGTGGTTTATATCCAAATTCGCGGGGAGAGATTGTTGGTTCAAAGACTGATATATCCAAATGCCATATATTTCTGGATTCTCTCTACGGTGCTGTTGCCATCTCAACAGATGTCACTGGGTGATGTGACAGAGCAACTTATGCTGGATTCCTGAACCCTTTGAGTATCTTTACTCTTCGCGTAATAGGGCGCCAGTATAGGTTGGGAAATTTTCAGGTTGACACTTGGTAGTTGTCTGTCATTCCGTAGATCGTTCTCTATGGTCTGAAAATGGAACTGATGTAATTGGTGAACGATCGGAAAAGACTGCTCTGCCCGACAGGACACTAGTACTGATTTAGTAGTAGATCTTTTACTTCAGGGAAGTTCTCGGTGCTGTTGCCATCTCAACAGGATTCATATTGTTTCATGCTACGAGACTTATGGTTAAGGTCCACCACTCAACTTGTCGAGGCAATTTTTGGGTTCGAATTGACTTGGGAAATTTGTACATTCTTTGTTACATTATCTGACATACAGAGGGATCCTGATTTATTGACTGGTTATTTCGGACTACCAAATATGTCTCTAGGTGCTGTTGCCGAATCAACAGAGCCATCTCAGTAGTGTGGTTGCGCGGGCTTTAAGATGTTAAGGAATGCACTGGAATGGGTCATTAGTTAATGGGGATTCCATTTTAAATAATGCAATCTTTCGTGACATCATAAGGGTTCCCGCATACAGGAAGATTGAATTCGCCTGATGTTTGGGGTTGTCGCCCCTTCTATTGACTTTAGACCAGTGATTGTTTTTCCTTGTCGGGGTTTGCATTGGGATTGATCCCATGCTGTCTGTCATTCCGCAACGGGGCTACTATGGCAAGAGATTAGAAAGCTCAAGTTCTCCAGCAATGTGCTTTTACATGGACCGGCTCAGCCATGTACAAAAATTGCCACCTGATTTCTTCGTAGAAGGACTTAGGGGCACGTGACAGACCGTCTCAAGTCAAGAAAAAGACCAGCGTGAAATAAGGCCATCAAGGCAGCTGTTCACGTAAAGCACTCGAGATTCGTATCCGTCCGTCTGTCTGTTGAAATCAATTTTCTAAAGACCCCAAATATCTTCGGGATCCAAATCTTGAATAATTCTGTTAGACATGCTTTCGAGAAGTTTGCTATTTAAAATCAGCAAAATCCGTTTCTAAATAACGAAGATATGAGCAAAAATCCTAAACAACCTCTTAAAATTTCTTTAAAAAATAAAATTTTTTTTCATGCTTTGATAAAAAAGCAACAACAACATTGCTTTTTTGGAAAAAACGTATGTTTGGATGTGTGTTGGTTTTATTGCTTTGTGTATTTTGTTTTTTTGTGCTTTGTTTCGTTTAGCGTTCTTGTTGTTGTTGTTTGTTTTACAATTAATCTGTTTTAAACACACTATGGGGAAGGATATATAAGATTCGGCGAATTTAGACTTTTTACTTGTTTAATTAACAAACATTTACTAAATATTACCATTTTGTTTTCTTTTCTCTCATTACAGACAAAAGTTTCCCCGTTTGGAAAGTAAAAACGTACAATTCTGGTTTAAGAATCGTCGGGCCAAATGTAAACGCCTTAAAATGTCACTCTACGATACCAATCAATGTTCCCAACTAACAGGACTCAATTCTTTTGTACATAAATACGATGAACGTGATTAAATTCTCAGACACAGACACACACACACTTCAAAAGGCAATAATGTTTATAAAATTCATATATTTAGTTCATTTTAACAAAATCATATCAACAAAAAAAATTATAATTTTTACTATATAAAATAAAATTTTTATTCTTTTTGTCTTTTTTTTATATTAACACAAAAAAGAAAAAGCAACTACAACAAAAAAACTCCAGCCAATTTTGTAGTATTTAGTATTAAATTAATTGTAATACTGTAATTACAACTTGTTAAATACCACATAAAACAAGTTTTAATTTTTAAACAAAAAAAAAAAAAAAACATACATATGACAAATAATTATTACAAAAAAAAAAAATTGTTTATAAAAACTAACAAAAAAATATATATTTAAAAATTTAAAATTAATTCCATTGATAAAAAAACCCAGTTAAAAATGCTTAAAAGCATTAAATTTAATTTAAAATATAAAAAAATAACTAAACTTTAAATTAGTAGTAAATAATAAATAATTTAAAAAAAAAAACTTTAATAGCAAATAATTAAGCAACCAAAGATGGCATTTGAATTTTATTTTTTATTCAAGATTAAATTTAAAAGTAAAAAAAATCAAATCATTATAATTATAGTTTATTTTTTAAATAATTTTAGTCATAATTAAAACTTGCCTTATTTGTTTTTAAGTTTAATTAAGTTGTGTTATTGTAATAATCATAATTAATCCTTAAATTTCAAAAAATATTAAAAAAAAACTAAATTTCCTTTGACATATTTTGTTTATTTTCCTTTATAAACTTTTTTTTGGTATATAATGCCTATTTTATAAAAAAAATAATTAAGTTTTATTCTTTTTGTTTAAATTTATACATTTTTTTAACAAATTACCCACCACAATCCTTTTTAATTAATAAAAATAACTTAAACCTTTAACTGTATTACCCTCCCACTTATGTATACACACACACATACACAATGCTGCAGTCATCGCTCCTACATTTGTACTATAAACTGACAGCTGAATAAAATAATACTTTCGTACATGGCAATTATCCGATTAATTAGTTAATAAGTATTATTAGTGTTTTAATTTTTTTTGTCTCTCACACTCTCTCTTCCTCTCTTTATAATAAAAATATATAAATAATAATTAAATTTCTCTTCTATATATATTTAAATAAAATACAAAAAAAAATATATATATTATGACTATTATAATAAAAAACAACAACAATTTATTAATAAGAATTATAAATCAATTAATTTTATTAAATCGGATTAAAGAAAAAAATAAAAGAAATTTAATGTCAAATTTAAAAAAAAAAGAATAAATGTGTTTTATTTCTCTTAAAAAAAAACCTAATTGGTTCTACTTAGACAAAGGGACACCTACGTTTTTGGTTTGGACTTAGTGATGAAAAATAGTAAATCGAAAAGTTCTATAAATGTTCAGTTTTTATGAATTTTTTTTACTCCGAAAACCATCAGTACCACCAAACTCCATCTTTTGGTGAAAAAAAGTATCATTAAGAATGCGATTTCATCAAACGTACTTTCCCCTAAACTGTTTCTTATGCTCATAAACGACCTTCTTTATCGAACTTCCAACCCACAGTGGATTAAAAACGGGTGGCCCAATCGGTATATGCCAATATCAGAAATAATTTGATCCATATTTAAACCAAACCAAATTGATTTATTTAGATACTAAAGTTAATTTTCGATATTCTAAAAAAATTTAAACCGATATTTTAATTACTTTTTAACTACGCCCACGAAGGCGCCTTCAATAACGTACACACTGATACTCTTATCCAATACTTAGACCAGTTTTATGTTGACCGGGTGCTCCGTAACTGGATCAACTGCATGCTAAAGAACAGATGGATAAGCTGCGAGATGTACGATATAACCATCAGGAATAGGGTATTTCGCGGTACTACACAAGGCGACATTTTGTCCCCTTTACTCTGGGTAACCACGATAAATAGCCTCCTAAAGACCCTAAGCGAGAAAGGACTTAGACCTGTCTGCTATGCAGATGATGCCGTAATACTTCTAAGGGGAAAGGATCCAAATTACTTGTGTAGAAGGGCTGAATAGGCTCTGAACACGGCCTTGAGCTGGGCTCAACCTAGAGGCCTCAATGTTAACCCGGCGAAGAAGATATGTCTTTTCATAAGAAAGACAAAAATTTCTACGTATACTGAACCTTGCTTCCTGGACAAGATGATACCAGTGACAGACAGAGTTAAGTACTTCGGTATAATATTTGACCGGAAATTAAGATGGAGGCACCATATAGAGGAAAGGATTAACAAGGCACATCGGTGATGGGCACTATGTAGAAGAACCATAGGCATGAAATGGGGCCTTAGTTCTACTATAACACATTGGCTCTATAAAAGTGTAATTAGACCAATACTTAGGGTTCATGGCTATAAGTGGAGCCATGAGCACTACGTCAACCAAGGCTCTGAAAACAATACTAGATATTCCACCCATTGAAACATATATAAGATATGAGGCGGCATTTACAGCCGAACGGCTCTTTACTTTAGGTGAACTGACCAAAAGCGGTTATAGGACACATTATCAATGTATACTGGAAACATTGGAAGGCTATACACAATCATCGGACGTACCCGATCGTAACCAGAGACAAAATATGTCGGAAACTTTGAAACGCTGATCCCAGATAGAATGTCTTGGTCAAGCAGAACATTAGAGCAAATACCAGTAGGAATCCGTTGTTACACGGATGGATCTAAATTGGGGGACAAAGTGGGGCTGGGGTTCTATATTGAAGACCCAGAAACAGAAATATACCACCGTTTACCAAATCATAACACAAGCTTCCAGGTAGAAGTCCGAGCAATAACGGAATGCGTCAATTGGATTAAAATAAATGTGGCGCCCACAGCGCTTAATATATTTACCGACAGCCAGAAGGAAATTAGGGTGATATCAGGCGATAGAATTAAATCTAAGACCGTATTGGATTGTAAGAAAGCTTTAACTGAATACTCTCCCAGAGGTAAAGTTTACATCACTCGGGAGTAGTCGGTAACGAAAGGTCGACTGTAATGGCTTTAAAGGGAAGGGAGCTCGAGGTAACCTGACAAACTAAAAATATGGGTGAGAGAATCTCATTTTGGAATAATGAAACAGTGGGTAGAACAACGAAGATCCTATGGGGTGACCCTGATGAGATCATGACGAAAAATCTCCTCAAAATGAGAAAGTCTGAAGTTAGTATGATGGTACGTATTCTGAGTGGATACACAAGATTACGAGCGCATCTATGCAAAATTGGACGTGCGGATTCAGACGAATGTAGAGCATGTGGAGAGGACAGTGAAACTCTGGAGCAGTGTCTTTGTCACTGCCAGGCATTCGTCGAAGTTAGATCCAAATATCTTGGAAGTGATGTAATTCCGGAAATAACATTACTGACTAACAGTGATTGAAAGATTCTTAAGAATTACGTCCAGGAAAGTGAGTTTCTGAACACTGAAAAATAATTAATTCAGTAATTTTTTTCATGATAAGGAGCGCACTACAGACCCGATAGTGGCCTAAGTGTATTTCTTCGGATTTGATGTAGTATACATCCTCCCATTAACCTAAGCTAACCTATCCAACTTCCAACCCACAGTGATTCAAAAATTTAATTTTTTGGAAAAAAGTGTGTAATCTAAACGGCCAAATCGGGATATGCCAATATCAGAAATAATTCGAACCATATTTATACCAAACCAAATTGTTTTATTTAGAAACTAAAGTTAATTTTCGATATTCTAAAAAAAAATTTTAAATTTTCAAATGACTATAACTCGGAAATTATCAGATCCTGCAATAGGCCGATGTACTACTGTCCCACTTACTGACAAAAGTTCTGACTGAGCAGCGTCCAGTTACGATCCCTATCAGAACCCTTAGACTGCGTCTATCCAATACTACAAGTTTTTTGCTAGCATCCATATCAAGTTTTGGCCAGAGGGCCTTTGATATATTTCAATCCAAGCTACTATTCCAGGACTGGTTAGTGATATCACGTATTCTCTCGAATATTAACCTATTACATAGGAGGTTTTACCATCCTTTCCCTGCCCGCTATATCAAGATTCGAACCTAATCCAGCTAGTTAGTCCGCAACCTCATTACCATGCACGTTACAGTGCCCTGGCACCCAACATAATCTAACGACAAATAGTCTTATAATTTCCCTAAGGGCATTCCTACAATCTGCAAGCAGGTGCGAAAGTACCATGTGACAAGCTAATGCTCTAAGAGCAGCTTGACTATCAACATAAATAGTCACAACCGAACCCGGATCGATATGATTCCGCATGAGTTCCGTCACTTTCCAGATCGCTAAGATCTCTGCTTGTTTTATGTTGTAGAGTCAATCATATGCCGATTTACTCGTTTTTTTAAGCCAGTAATTAGCTTTAAATTCATTTTCTGAAGGAGAATTTATGTGGGGGGTAGGGTCAAAACTTTTCATATAGAGCCTGTAGTAAATGAGGACATTTTGGTAATTTTTCGTTCTTCAAAAGGATTTTTTTTGAATTCTCTGGGTATATTGGTTTTGTGATTCCGTTTATAACTTATCGAAATAATGGACATAGGCCCAGAAAATTATATATATATTATGGGTCAATTTTAAATTCTGTCTGTTGAAAGCACGAATGACAAACTTGTATATACCCTGCTCAAGAAGGTATCTGATAAAATGACTTAATTTCTAAAAGAGACTTTGTGAAAGCGATCAGCTCAAAAGTGGACCTATCCTCAGAAAGAACAAGGAATTTACCATTTATAAAACTTAGTTATGTTGATTTTAAGAAAGGTAATTTTTAGCTAAAAAGGCTTAAGCAGAAATTCCTGTTGTAAGGCGAGTAGTTATAATAATGTAGCGACTTAAAACCATTGTCCTTGATCCAAAAAAGGTATATGTGCCAAATTTCATCAAGTTATCTCGAAAATTGCGACTTGTAGTTTGATTGCAAGGTTTGTAAGTACGGTCAGACGGAAGGACATCGCCAAATGCTTCTAAGCTGATTAATATACTTTAAGTTGTAGAACGAGTTACATACATCAGCACAAATCCAATAAAAGCTTCCCAATAAAGTTGTGTAGGACATAAAAATGGTACCCATTTAGAATCTCTATAGGCCCCAAATGAGAGAGGCTAGAGAGCTCAAATATTCCACAATTTTGGTCAACGGCATGCAAGTGAACACTGCATACAACAGTTGAAACATAAACATCATGATCAAATATTACACAACTTAACTTCGTGAGCCCAGAAATTCTCTTGAATCCAGCTTTCATATAAAGTCCCCTTCAGAAATTTGCTTTAGCCTACATAAA